GAATGCAAATGCTGAACACCAGGCAAGTTATTTGAATGACACTTGTGACGACTGCAAACTTAGACTTAATGGTTCAGGAAAGTATGGGCCAGACCATCAATGGAGCCAGTTTCTATCAGCCGAGATTTTGGCCTTGTGTCAAAAGCGTTTCTAAAGATGGCTAGTTCTTCGTTTAAAAAATCTGCCTGTTTCTCTTTCTGAGGACCGGCACCAGGCTGGGGAAGGCTGGGAGACATTTTTGAGAAGGTACTAAGAAAAATCAAGGGACGCATCACAGGGCTTCAGATGCCACAACAGGCTGTTATCTTGCAGTAAAAAAGTATACGCATTTTTCCTTATGACACAGGAAGAAAAGAAAAAGCAGCTAACTTGTAACAACGACACTTTATTTTAAATATGTGCTGCTTTCCCTCAGCCTGCCTTGCATCTTAGTGGCTCTTTTTCTGAGAGGAGAAAGAAACCTAGTGTTAGAGAAAATCCAGTGATAGCCTATTGATTTTGAAAATATCTTTGATTGATTTGCATAAGAAAAGAAGGCCGGGCTTGAAAGGTGTGTTGCCAATGTCGGCCTGTGCATTACAGAACTGCTAGGCAGATTCTTGGTTTTGCAGATGCACATGGTGTCACAGGCAAAATTGCTCCCAGCAATGCAGAGACTATTTATAAAATAAAATAAAAAAATAAAGAAACCATCCTACTACTAGCAGTAGTTATTTGCATTGCTGAATCTCTCCAATTTGACATTAAAGCTCCATTTCTTCTGGATGTTGAACAAGTGTTACAGGCATTATCTTGGGCATTTATACTCGTGCTCTGGGAGTGGGTGGGGGCACTTTAATTACAGCAGCTTTGAGAGCGGCTCTAATGAAAGCACCCAGAACGTCTCATGTATCAGCATCCCTGTGCTTAAATACGGTGGCAGGGTCACTTTAACTAAAGCTCATTTGACGAGCTTTAGTTAAAGCACCCCTGTCGCCATGTTTAAGCGCGGGGTTACTGATACACAAGACGCTGGAGTCTGCTGGAGTGTAGTACTTATCACGCTCCAGCAAACTGGATTAATCGAGCCTGCTCCATTGTGCTGGAATTACAGTGCATCGGAGCAGCCTTGCTGCTCTTGTATAGGTGCCCCTTAATTAAAGCCAGGGACCGAATGGGGCCTCGCCCAGCTAGAAGCAAGAGCGGCTACAGCTTGAGCTAAAGAACCGCGGTTCTTTAAGTGGAGCTGTAACAGATCTGTCTCCTTCACCGAGTGGGGGACCAGCAAGCAACACAGGAGTGTAGTGAGTGACAGACCTGTCTCTGAAGAGCTCGTACTCTATAAAGAGGTCAAATAAATGGCAGGGGGATAAAAAAGGAAGCACAGGCCACGTCTACATGAGATGCTGACTGCGCTGTATGTAGCTCATTACTACTGCGCAGTAGCGTTGCATGGCACGAAGCGTGATGTGATGCTACTGCGCAGTAGTAATGAGCTACTGCGGTCAGCATCGCCAAAAAGCCGTTCGGCGAAGCTGCTGTGCAGTGACTCTGGTTACCACGCAGTCATTTAGTACTTGTGTATAAAAGTATTAGATGACTGTGCAGTCAGCATCTCATGTAGACGCGGCCACGGAGGCATAAACCGACCTGTCCAAGGTGATACAGCCCCAGGAACGGAGCCCAGACCTTCTGTCCTCCAGGCTAGAGCAAGGTCTTGGTAGAAAACAATAGCAGTTCCCCCTCACCTCTGGAGTCTGCCAGCGCCTCCATCTCTTGTTGTGCTTGTGGTGTTTAAATGTTATTGAAAATGTGCTTCAGAAGATATTAACCCTCTGTTAATGTCATGCGGTAACTTCACATTTTCTCCGTTTCTACAGCACCGACAGGAGGTACCTGCAACTATTTTAAATTTTACCCTCAAAAGAGCTTCTCTTCCCAGTGAAGCAACTCAAACATGAGACTCTGTAAAGAAAATGATATGGGAATGGTAAAGAAAATACATGAAATTTCAGACCTGTTTGCCATATTGGATATTCTAAAATCAGAGCTGGCCCCGAGATTTTTAGTATTGCAACCATCATCACCGACAGCGGTGAGAACTTGCTGCCTATGCATTTATATCAGACAAAACAAAGCAACCCCCCCCAATTATGTAGCACTTTTATCCATAGACCTCAAAGTACTTCACTCATTAGGGTAAATCTGGGGTAAATCTCCCCAGTTTACACACAGGGAAACTGAGGCACAGGGTAGCAATGTGACTTTTTCCCAAGATCTCATGGCACATCAGTAGTAGATCTGGAAATATAACTCACGTCTCTCTATTCCAATCTAAAGCTTTGGCCACTAAGTGCCACTGCTTTAACAGAGCTTCACTCCTATCTGCCTATAATAACTACAAGGCCATTAAAGGCTTTTCATTTTGGTGGGTTTTAGTTCTGGTCAGCATTTAGGTGAAAAAGTCCTTGAGAGGCACCAGAGTGCTGCCCTGCCGGTGACCTTAGCAAGAATAACGCCCCCCTCTTTTTTTAAATGCTGCATCCCCTGTTGAGATGAAATCAGGATATCCTGGTGACTGTTTGTGGCTATTTGTTAATCAGCTGTGATCATAGCTGATTTACAAGTTGCATAGGTCCTCTTTGTGGACACTCTTGTTAATTATTTTTTCCTTCCAGCCACGTGAGCACTGTTTCTTGGAGGAAAAAAACCCCACACACAGTAGCTTATCACAGCAACAGAAGAAACGTATACAAGCATTTTACTGGTTGCTGTTTTCAGCCTTGTCCTCGCTATTGAGGAAAGCAGAGGGTTAAAGTGACTGGGAAAGGGAATGCGAATCATAGCAAGCAAGTGCCTCGTGCAATTGGAGGTTTTTAAACTCTGGCCTCCTGAGAGTTGACCATTTCTATCCAGACAATTTTCCACTCATAGTTTCTGAAGCATCAGCTAAAATTTCAGCATCTGTAAGCAAATGCTTACAGCACAGTGGGTAGTTTATCAAACAAATACAAGAGAACGCTATTCAGGACACAGGTTATTGTCCTGTTGTTTAATTGACTGATCTTTTCTTTCCCCCCTAACTATGAAGCCAACCAGAGAATACGTGGCCTGTCTCCAAATGTGTTATGCAGCTTTGTGAATATGGCAAAAGGATGGAATCTCATGCATCTTCCAACTAAATGTGTATATAGAGTTCACCAGTGAAATGACTGCAAATGCATGACATTTTATAGGTATTTGCTTCATGGCATATGATAAGAAGATAAAATACCATGCATTTCCTAAAGAAGGTACTACCATTTCAGCTTCTGTTTAGAACAGGTGTTTTTTTTTCTCCTTTTGTGATTGTGTGCTGGTAGTGAAATACATGACATTTCAGAACTTTTTGTCATGTAAAAATTATGACAAGGCATGACAAGCTGATGAAATACCATGTGTTTTTAACATTTGCCTGGCAGTAAGGCAATTGTAAAAACACACATGAATTTTCATACTGTCTTGTCATAAGAAACATGCATTTTGGAAACTGAAGCCTGCCAAGTCTAGTGAAAGGGATCTCTTATTTAACCCAGGGATAATCAAGCAGCCTCTGCTGTCCTCCATGCATTGGGCTGACTTCTCCTGTGTCTTTTCTGCCAGCCCAAAGCATTAGTCAATCTGGTGGATCTGGGCATTGGGGAAGTCCACTGGCATATGCATAATTTTAGGCAGCTTGGACTCAATATAACAGCTCTGAGACCAACAGCCCAAAGCTTCAGCATAAAATAAGCTGTCGCTGGTGTTATGGC